TTTATCCCTATGTTAGAATGGCGCCTAACAACAAACATTGCCATGAACACCCACTTCAGATCTTTTATGCCTATTATCTTCATTGACATAGTAAACAGAAGATGCTAGAGAGGTGATTGCTTTCCTCATCAGCAAGTAAGAAAATGGGATTTGGGGGTACTTTAAAACTAGGGGTGCATCCAATAGTATATTTCAAGTCACAGAAGACTCTACAATCCAGCAGAGGCTTCTGTAGACAGAAGGAGGAGGCAGGTGATTATAGCTGATTACCGCTTTCTCCTCTAGCTTCCCAAATCTGCTCCTATCCATGATGGCTATCTTCTGTCTCCATGGTCAGAGATAAGATGCTCCAGAATACTGTAAACTTCTGGGAATTAAAAGTGGGTTGAGTGCTGTATGCTCAGGTCCTGCTTTCGGGCTTTGTGTAGTCATCTGGCTGACAACTGTAAGAACAGGACACTTGACTAGAGGAGAAAGTGGGCTCTTAAGTTATTGTGCTCCATAGAATTGGGGAGATCCATCAGACCAGAAGTGCTGCAGGAGAACGGAGAATACGTCAAAATCACTTTCCTACCCCATACCCTCCATCATTTATCCGATGGAAATAGAGACACCGTATTTAATAATAATAACTTGTTGTTGTTTATACCCCATCCATCTGACTAGGTTGCCCCAGTCAATCTAGTCGGCTTTCAACATATATAAAAACTTAATAAGAAATTGCAATTGAGTAGATTGGAAGTCTAACACAAGGCTGGGGTGAGGGATGGTGGTGGGAAAAGGAAGTATCTGTGGGATTGAGTATGGGTATGTATGATTTTTAAGGATTGTATGAAATGTATGTGTAATGGTTCTAGGGGTTGCTCGTGCGTAAGCCGGTGCAAACACCTGGCTGGATTGCCTGAGTGAACCTTTTCTGTCCGGACAGCCACTCACCCATGGCTGTCTCAATCGCTGGCAGAATCCGTCAGTGGGCGTTTCTTAAACTTCTTCCAGCAAAGAAGCTCTTTGACGCCTAGTCTCCTCCTACTCTCTCTGCGCGGAAGCCTTCTGCGCAAGGAGGGCGTAGGCAGCGGAGGACCTCTACTCTCCCCGCTGGTCCCCGGCAAGGAGTCATGGGACCGCCTCGCCGCTTCCCCCATCTGCCCCCCTTCTCCACTGGTGCTACGCTGATTCTCTTCCCCAGAAGATGGGCTGCCTCTCCCACTCCGGGACGCTCTCCGGAATCCCTCTGGATTTTGCTCTCTCCCTCTGGCACTGATGGCAGTTCCCTGACAGTATGTTTGTTAGTTTATTTGTAATATGCATGTATTAATGTTGAATTATTTTAATATTTTTAAAAAATATATATATAAAAACTTAATAAAACATTTTTACAGGGCTGGCTTCAGATGTCTTCTAAAAGTTGCTTACCTTCTTGGCTTGGGGGTTGCATACCCTCCAATGAAAATAGGGACGTCCAACCATACCCTCTAACATTTCTCCAATGAAAATAGCAATGTGGGACATTCCAGGATCAAATCAGAAACTGGGATGGCTTCTGTAAATCTGGGGCTCTCCCTGAAAAATAGGGAAACCTGGAGGGTCTGCTAGCCCAGCTATTCATGGAAGTCTCTACTGGAACAAAAGTCCTTTCATGAGGGGAATCATACCGTTGGATGAAACCCAAGGTGTTTACTCTGGTGTGTGATCCTTTGTTCACTTACATTTTACAGGTCATTTTGACAAGGTTGTCATTCAGTCTACCATCTCTCAGTCTTCTCTGTGGTTCTTTCATCCCTCCCTTCCCCAAAATGGAGGTTCTCTGGGAAGAGTCCACTCTGAGAGACATAGTTCTGTAAGGGGACCAGTGGTCTCCCAGAAGCTCTCACCACCCTTAACAAACTACAGTTCTCAGGATTTATTTATTTTTTTTGGGGGGGGAGCCATGACTGTTAAAGTGCCACCATAGTGCTTTGACTGTATATTGCAGATGCAGTCCTAATTTGAAAAGCTACACATAAGAAGCAGCTAACCTGCATTGTAGAGAAGTGATAAAATATGAGGTTCAGCTGGAACAGAAGGTACCAAAAGAGTAATTACATCAGTGGTGTCCTGGTTGTGGAGTTTCATCTCTATGGAAGTATGATTTTTTTTAAGATCTTAAGGGGAAGGTGTGGGAATGTTCAGGGATGCAGGAGAAGATATATTGTTTGATTATATCCTTTCCAAGTTGTGTTAACAAGTTCTGCAATTTAGCAGAGTAACATTCCCCTTTTTAAATTTGCACAGCGGATGCGTTTGCTCAGGCTCGCTAAAGTCTCTAAAATAAGTTACCTGGTAATTTCCCCTTTAATCCCTCATAAAAGAAATAGACATGACAGTCTTCTATAAAAGTATAAAAAGTGTTTACTCACTCACTCATTCTGCTTACAGATGAATCCCAGAAGGCAGACTTAAGTTACAAAAGTAATATACCTGGAATCTATCCCATAAGGTGAGGCCACGCCCACCTCTGGTCATATGTAGAGGAAGTCTGTCCCAGCCTAGGGGAAAGAGGAAGTTCCGACTGGCTGGTTCAGACATCCCCTTTTTATGTCCACTCTAGGGATGTTGTACTTGACTGCTCTGTGTTTCACATCCCACAAAAGGGAGTTGTTAAATGTTTTAAATGAGACCTAAACTCAACCTCAAGGCCAAATTTCAACTGCATCTTCAGTTTGTTGTTGATATTACAGGTGCAGAGGTCTCAATCCATATTGGAAATCTACCATTTTGGGAGGAGAGGTTTATTCCTTCTAGCATTGCCCACCGCACAACTGCAGTCTGGACAAAAATCAGCCCCCTGTGGAGCTATTAAGCTTAGGAAAAGTTTTTTCTAGCTCTTGCTCCATGTTTGCGGGGGGGGGGGGGGAGTCAATTTTGGCTGGGTTGCAGCTGGGGAAAGGAAGGGATAAACCTCCCTGTCCCATATGCTGTAATCCCAAAAAGAGTTGAAAAAGAAGTAAAAAATAAAAGCCAAGTACAGTACAAAGCTGCACACTCTGAATTTAACAAAATGTTAGTGTGGCCTTGAGTTATCCATTCTGCCGTCTGAAAGTGGTCTTTGCATGTGTGATGAATTTGAAAGGTGCTCATGTTCTAATGTGTGGGACTGCAGGTGGTATTTTAATTGTGCCATTGTGCTTAATTTTTACAAATTTTTTTTTTGTGAATTGCTCTGGAATAGATATATATGGAGGGTGGTATACAATACTATATGATAAAATGCTCCCCAGGCTTGTGTTTCTCAATGGGGAGGATTCATGTCCAAGCATTTTCACTGAACTCCTGATGAATGAATTTCAACTTCATTGAGGTCAAAAGGCTGTTCCAAGATAAAATGCCTACATTATATAGTATTTTACCTCCTACTGTGGAAACACTCCATTCAGCTACATATGCCAGTTGAATAAATGTGAGCAATAAATCCTAGAAAGTATAGAGATCTCTTAAAGCCACAAAGGTGTGAAACAAGTTTAATAATAATAATAATAATAATAATAATAATATCACTAGATGGGAGTAATCCTTAATTAATAAGCTGTATTTTTATATATTGTACATCTAAGGACACCAATCCTGGAAATGCAATAATGCATGCACACTAAAAATGCTGAGATCATAACAGATGCAAGGCTTAGGCCATGTTGCTTATTTTAATTTTAATGACTTGATCATAATTTTAGTTTAAGGGCAACACTTCCTCCCTCCTATCCTCCTTCTCCCAAGTGTCTCAAATAGCCAAGCACAATTTCTGCTGACTAAACACGCAGCGGATAGGGGTTTTTTAATGAAGAATTACAGTGCAGTAGCATGTTGAGAGAGAACTCATTAAAGCTGGTGTGCAGTCAGTCAGTTTGAAAAGGTGGCAGTATTTGCTCACACAAAATGCTAGCGGTACAAATGAATCTGCAGGAAAGCGAGCAGAAAGGGAACTGTACCAAATGTTTTCCAGTTTCAATGATTTGAAGTAAAAAAACAACAACAACTGACTATTTGGAGTAGAAATGCTGCTGCCTCAAAAGCAAAATACAATGTGAATGTGCACCTTTGTTGTTGTTGTTTAGTCGTTTAGTCGTGTCCGATTCTTCCTGACACCATGGACCAGAGCACACCAGGCACTCCTGTTTTCACCTTTATGTGCACCTTTAGTCAAGGCTATTCTGCATGATAGTTTTTCCTGATAGTTGCTGCTGTTGCTTTATCCTTCTTGAATTACTCCTATGGCTGGTTGTCCCACCCAACCAGGGACCATGCAGTCAATAGGAAGACTTTGCAGTGTGCACAGCCAATCAGATTTGGCTCCATTGTGATATCATGAGGAGCATGTGAGCACAACTGAAAGCAGCTCCTTTCTCTCTGATGGATTTCCCCTTCAAATGCCCTTCACCTATATTCATGGTTGTAAAGCCCATGCTTCTCGTCTAGCTTGACTTTTACCCCCAGATTCAATATAGGAAGCTGAGCCTGAGATATATTGTGCCATAGCCTGGAGTCTATGGTAGGATTTTAACTGGATGAAATTTTGTCTAGGGGATTTCCTGCATCACAGCCAAGTATCTTAGCAATAATTTCTCAATAACACTTGCGTGTTAAGTATGGTGATTTCTGCTATTATTATTATTATTATTATTATTATTATTATTATTATTTTCCTGCCACAAACCAATATGGCTAACCTTCCAAAAGAATGTAACATGATGGCAAATGTTAATGGGAAAAGGGAACAGAATCCATAGCTGTGGTCACATGGGAAGCAGCAGAGCAAGCCTCTGCACTAATTTGGGTGACTCTTGAATAAACACATTTAAGAAGCTCCTTGGTCAAAGTTTATTCTATCGTCTGCAGTAATGGTTTAGGGGTCGTTATTTTATCAGCGGGATGACTGCAAAGAACTCTGGCTGAGATTTCATTACAAATGGCATAGACCAACAACTACAGAAAGGCATAAGCTCACAAATGCATCAAATTGGCAAGGCACAAATATAGCTCAGTTGGTTAGGGTGTAGTGCTGATGATGCCAAGGTTGCAGGTTCGATCCCTGCATCTTCCTGAATTGCAGTGGGTTGGACAAGTTGATCCTCAGAGTCCCTTCCAACTTTACAATTCTATGATTCTATAGTTCTAAAAGTTGGCCCACTGAGACAGAAGCTGCATACTTTGGATTTAAATCAAATACTCAAACTCACAGTGTAGATTCCATCCCATTCTTAGAACTTTTTAGTTTCTCCTTTCTTCTATCCATTACTTCTATAGATATACATGGTGCAGTCACGGAATGCCTGGAATCCCAAATTTATATTTGTCTGCCCTTGAGAATGTGATGTTGACCAAATGAGATGTTGTTTGACTAAGTGCATGTCTGATGCTGCTAATATATCCATTTCAGCTGGCTCTGTTTTTAAACTCTTCATTTTGTTTTCTCTTGATTATACTATGATGACAATCATAGTCAATTTATTCATCACATTGGTGTGATATACAATGAAAATGCTTTAATTAATGATGCCAGTTATCTTGGGAGCCCCCATGGGAGCAGCCACTCAAATGTTGAGGTTGCTTCTTACATTCTGTTAAATTTGAAATTTTCTATTCGAGATCTGAGTGGTGAAACTGGAATTCTGTACAATTGAATACAATCCTTTCAGTTGTACATGTAAACTTCTGAGAGGAGTAAAAGGCATTTGCACATTAAAAGCAAGCTACTGTTGATGACTGTGTTCTTGAATATTAACTATGGGAACTATGTGCAACTATGGGATGGAATGTTGAAAACTAGTTGAATATTTGGGGTGGGTGTGACATTTTCCAGCAATGAATATCACTTGATATCTATTGCTATTTCATATTGTGGGAGAAAGGAGTCATGAAGCTAAGAGAGAAGGAGGAGAGGCCAAGCCCATTGCTTTCTCAAATATTAAAATAATTGTTGTTGTTGTTTAGTCGTTTAGTCATGTCCGACTCTTCGTGACCCCATGGACCAGAGCACGCCAGGCCCTCCTGTCTTCCACTGCCTCCCGCAGTTTGGTCAGACTCATGTTTGTGGCTTCGAGAACACTGTCCAGCCGTCTCGTCCTCTGTCGTCCCCTTCTCCTTGTGCCCTCCATCTTTCCCAACATCAGGGTCTTTTCCAGGGAGTATTCTCTTCTCATGAGGTGGCCAAAGTATTGGAGTCTCAGCTTCAGGATCTGTCCTTCCAGTGAGCACTCAGGGCTGATTTCCTTAAGAATGGATAGGTTGGATATTCTTGCAGTCCATGGGACTCTCAAGAGTCTCCTCCAGCACCATAATTCAAAAGCATCAATTCTTCGGCGATCAGCCTTTTTTATGGTCCAGCTCTCACTTCCATACATCACTACTGGGAAAATAAATTAAAATAATACCAAATATTAATTCACAGTTGCACCAAAAATTCATGGTTGGCAAAACTGGGAAGGCCATTTCAGCTTTCATGGAGGACTGAAACTCTCCAGTAGTTCAGAAGATGCTCAAAAAAGGAAGGGGAGGGAATGGATCAGCCCTATTGAAAACCAATTTCTTGTGGCAGGATGAAAATCACAGAGCAAGGTGTGCGCTCGCAGATCTCCCAGTGCGATTTGAAAAGACAAAAAGACTTGGATGAAATAGTTGGGGTGGGGGAATGCATGGTTTCTCCTTTGCTGCAAATTATGCATTCTGGAAATGCAGGGAGCACAAGGCATGGCAACGGGCACCACGTTAGAGCAGAAGGCAAATACCTGAAGAGAAAAGCACTCTGCGAGGCAGCGGTTTACACTGTTAAGTGCAAATTACCCTTCCACTGTGAGAAGCCTCGGGGAAGCCGGTGTCAGGCTGTAAAAGTATCAGGTTTCTAAAGCGGTGGCTTCCTTAGCAATGCAAAAGAGCAATCCGGTGTCACCGCTTGGCTCCGTTCAACACTAATATAAGAACAGGTGAAAAATTGGTAGGAGAAAGCTCTGCAATAAGTATTCTTTCTCACATCCCTTAATATTCAAGCTAAAATAGGTAAGGATGATGGGGGGGGGTCTTTTGTTTTGTTTGTTTGCGGGGTGTCCCAGTGACTCATGCACTGTCTTGTTCTTATGGCGAAGGGCAAGTAGATTAATAGACGATCCGTTTTCTCTTAGCATTAGAAAATTAGATCATTTATCAGGATTACTTTTCTTTTCTCGTTGCCTTGCTGGGGTAAGCTGCTTGCACCTTCTCTCTTCCACCCAATGACTCCCCCTCAAGTGTTTCTGAAACTATTCTGGAGTCAATCCCGCTGACATCTCTGGGATTTTCACTTCCGAGTCAACATGCGTGCAATGGTGATGCAAGAAATCAAAGGAGAGATGCCCCCCCTCCCTTCTTCGACATTAGACAGCCAGGCGGGGTTGAGAGAGGGAGACTAGCACCGAGACAAGCGTAGACTCTTCGCTGCGAAAGAGAAAGCGAGCGATCCCTCTGGTCAGTTTCATGCATGTTGCTCAAATTCGCGCGTAGCAAAAATGCACGCGCGCACGCATCCTGGATTTCTGAGCCGAGACATCACGTGCGTGTGGAGAGACTGGCTGGAGGGGGAGAAGCTGATCTCCCCGCCCTCTGGTTTGCAAGATCACCGAGCCAGAGGGAGGCGATACCAGCTTCTCCCGTCCCACAGAGATAAACCCAGGGTCATCCTCTGAACCCTCTTTTGGTTCGAGCCTGTGCCATTGTAACATCCCCACGGCGAGTCTTGCAAACTGGCTTATACGCGTTGCCTCAGAGAACTACTGCCTCCCTTCCCCAGCCGTCTTTTTAACATCCCTCCTCCAGCTCCTTGCAAAATTAAAACAAACCCGGAAAGATCGGGCAGCTGGCTGGTTTCCTCAGTGCTTTTCCCGGTTGGTTTCACGGGAGTTTCCCTCCCGGCGTGTTGCGATTGTTAGGACAAAATTATTGAGAGAAGTAGCCTTGCGCGGTTACTATATATAACCGAAGGGAAGGGCAGAGATTTGCACTGAGTCTGTGGAAAGAGTTTCTTTAGCAACCTGGGAAGAAGGTGGCGGGGCTGATGTGCCAAGCCCTTCAAAAGCGAGGAAGAGGCAGAGTCTTTTCTTCCTGCCCACCCGATCTCCCCCCTCCTCCTCCTCCTCCCGAATCGCATTAGATCCTCCCCTCCAGCTCCCTAAATCAGCTCCGCCGCTATATCTATCAGGATGAGACCAGCCTCCTTCTGTAGTTCTCTCTGCGCCTCGTTTCTTCTCCAGCACCACCTGGCTCACTGGGTCTTGGGTTGCTGTGGTTTTTACGCACAGAGCCAGCCTCTCTTCGTCTCCGTTTCTTTGGATGAATATAATCTCGTCCACCTACTTTTTGCCTTAAAGGATCAGCTTTAAAATCTCCGCTTCTCTGACTCTGAGCGCCCGCCCGCCTGCCTCCCCACAACTCTTCCTTTGCATTTGTCCGGTCTCCCTTTATTTTTTATTTTCACATCCATCCATTCATTGTTTCCTGGGCTCTGTGGCACGCACGCACGCGTCCGTCCGGCAAACCGCTTGCCCGGTAGTTCGTTGTTACTTGGCTCTCCCTCTCTCTCAGCGCCGCTAAGGAAGCTCTGGCGGATGCCACCGTCCCGCTGTGGACACCCCCACGCCACGCCGCCCATCGCTGTCCATCACCGCCGTTCTGAAGCGCATCCAAACCTCTGGAACTACCATGGGATGCGCGCTCGCCTCGTGGAACCGCTTGCTGCCCAGACACCTCGCCTCCTGAAATTCCACCCGGTGAGTGCCTCGCCTTTTACGCACGCCAGATTTAAGGAAGCCTCCATCAATTCCTCCCCACAATGTTTAGCGATCGCCAGTTTGATGAGCTATTGTCTCTGTGACTTTTTAAATTTATTTTATTATTGGTGGGGAGAGAGAGAGGGGAAGCTTAAACAAATCTGTCGCTCTGCTGCTTTCCTATCTATTTAACCCCTGTTGATGCTATGGATATTCCATTCCTCTATTAACCCCTTCCTTCACGCAGACACAGCAGAGAGAAAATGACGAGTTAGGGGGTGCACTGTGTGTTGGGGGATGCATTTCTGGGCGAGGCAAATTGCACCCCACATGTTACATTTCTGGAAGAAAATTATGTTGGGAGGCTGAAACAGATGGGGAGCGGGTGCTCTCTTGCCTTTCTCTGGTGCCGCAGATGACAGGCACACACACCAGATCCTTGCTTGTAAGCTCCGGGTTCTGATCGCGCCTTGACTCGCTCACTTGAGACTCATGGGACTCTCACGTCTCCCCCAAAGGCACCCCTAGCTCGATGTGTCATTCGCACTATTGGTTTCGCGGCATGCCAAACACCTGGGTTTCTAGGGGCTAACTTGTCGGGGGCTTGTGGTGGAAGATCCAGAGAGGGGTGGCATCGTTGCCCTTGGTGGGCATCCTATTCGGAGGGTTGATGGGAGAGAAGAAGATCTCACCCATATCTCACAGCTTTCGCGTTGGGGTGTCTCTCTGGCGCCACTTGGTCTTTGTGGGAGACTCTGCCCTCTTCCAGATTTTCTGGGAGGGGTCTTAAAGAAGTATTTGGGGGAGAGGAAGGGCTGGGCTCAACCAGTCCCTCAGTCCAAGAAAGGGGGAAGATTCCCCACCAGATTCGACTAGGAGGTGGGCTTCCTTAAGGCACCTTTCAAGGTGGTGCTTTTGGAATTGTGAAATCGAGAGTCGCATTTGGGTTCCGAATCCACCCCCGCCCGCCCCCCCCCCGGCCCCCCAACAGCTTCCCGGTAGGGAATCAGACCGTTGCTGCATTTCACCCTGGGCATGCAAGGCAGATGCTATTTCACTGAGCTAGGGTTCCAAAACGCTGAGGAAGTCTGATTGTCTGGTCGGGGATCTCTCTTCCGGAGCTCACATCTTCTTGCAAGTCTCTCTCTCTCTCCTGCGTTATTATTTGTGTAGAGTTTATTTGTAAAAAAAATAAACTGCGCGAGGAATTGCAGGGGCCGGAGAAGACAGATGAGCGTAACTTTTCCTTTTGTCTGCCTGTCTGTCTGTCTCTCTCACACACTTCATTGCATTAATATGCGCTGGGCTATATACAATATATGCATACCAGTGCCGAGTAAATTTCGGGGCTAGGGCAGCCCACACAGGCCAAGGATGCTTTACACACATTACCTGGCAGCAGACTTGGGTTTGTCATTTGGGGTCCATCCAGCAGGGAGCAGCTGCAGACAACTCTCACTCCCCGAAAAGCGTGTTTGCCAGACGTCTGTCTGCAAACACGTGTTGGTTGCATTCCCATTTTGGAATTTTTTAAGTGCACACCTTAAGTCCAATCTGCCAGGTGGGCCCTTAGGCAAGCTTTCGGCCCCCCATCTATCTAATGCTGGCCCATCTTGCGGGGTTCTTGCTGTTGCTGTGAATAATTGTCAGGGGTCCTTTACCTTTCCCTTTTCTTTAGTACAGTGTATAAAAAAGCATGAAGACTCTCGAAAGAAGTCTATAAATACATTAACATTCCTGCCAGTTCTGTACTCGCAAGCGACCATTAGGGAGAGCAAAGGGGGCACATGTCCCACCCAGTGAGTGGCGTGTGCCCCCCCTCCCCGTTCTGCGGCAGGCTGTGGTGGTCGTTAAGATGCACTCTCACGATCACTACAGGTGGACGCGCTTGCTCATTAGTCTAACCCTCAGAACTACTACTTGCCATCGGAACACCTAACGCTTGGAGTAGTTCTTCTGGAACAGAGACTTGTGTGGAACCTTTGGACCTTCCAGATGTTGCTGGACTCCAGATCCCATCACCTCTGGCCATTAGCCACACTGGCTTGAGGGGTAGGGTGGCGTGGGGAGGTTGAGTTCAATACATCCTCAGGGCCGCAGGTTAGGCTCACCTGTGTCTTGGAATTTAGGGGTTCCTCGTCGGAATTCCAGAACCACCTTTGATGAGCAGATCCTTGGGATAAAACGAAAGCCATTGCCCTCATCATGCTCTCCTTCCTGTCAATCCCCTACGACACTTCTCTGACCCACGACTGGGGACAGAGTATTGGACCAGACAGACCAAAGCTAATCTTCTTTAGGACAGCGATGCGCGTGGATGAATTATTCCACTTTAATCCATCTGTAGAGTAAAGGGACCTAAGGACACTTTTTCAAGGGGGGGGGGGTTATAAAGTGTGGACGTTTCTCCCTCTGATCTCGAAGAGAAGATCCGGTTGGCAGGAGGTGCTCCGGTTTAATTAAACCGGAGTAAAGCCCCCTCCCTTCCGCCCACCCCCTTCCGCGTGTCCTTCCCAGCTGTTCTGCCACCAGCTGGAGCGAGGGAAGACAAGTCACCTTGCTCAGGCGGGCGGTGCGTGGTTTTTTGCAGCAGTCTCCAGCCTCACCAAGAGAAGAAGATCCCTCTCTCTCTTTTTCTCTGCCTCCTTGCCAACGCTGGCCTTCCCCTTCCACCCTCTTCCGACAGAACTTGTGCAATTAGCCCGATCCCCAAGCAAAGCTAGTCCATTGCACTTCCGCGGAGCTGCAGCCGAGCTCGCAGCAGCTGCAGCCGAGCTAGCTCAACTCATGGGGATCCGGAAACTTTGAGCATCATCAGATAGATGCGCTTCAGAAGACGCCAGACTCGGGCGAGCCAGCTATAGGTAAGGGATTCCGCGTCGTCTGACTCTCCTAACAGGCTACCCGAAGGTGAACTGTACCACTGGGTTTGGAGTCATCGTGGGGAAGGGGGGGTGCAATTTGGTGCAAGGAGGGTGAAGGAGAGAGAAGGTGGGTGCTGAGGTGCTCCCAGTGTCAGTGAAAAGAACTTGGTGACAGTGACGAGAGATGGCAACAGGGGGTCGAGTTTGGGTGTAAAACGGCGGGGGTGGGCAGCGGAGGCTGCCAGGCTTTGCAGGGGAGGCGAGCAAACATCCTTCTGCGCATCGCTTGCAAATAAATCAATGCAATTAATGGTGTCTTAATGGGCATTTGCAGGCAGCGAGCGAGCAAGCGGCATGCTTCACGGGCGAAAATCTCCATCAGCCTTAATGTGTTGTTTCTTGTTCAATACTATTTACCGGGGGTGGGGAGGCACCGCTAGGAATGCCACACCAATCAGGAAAGATGTGGGGAACGGGGGGGGGGGGGAGATAAAATCCTAAAGGCTCATTCAGCAGCCTGTGACATTTTTTGCTCGTGTGATTTGATTTTTAAAGCGGTGGCACAGCTCAATAATATTGTGGGGTTGGAGGAATAATTCTCCCTTAAGGGGCATGATCTCCAGACAGCAAAACGGATGTAGTCTCTCTTCTCTCCCCCCCCTTTTTTTTTAATGGACCAAGATTATGATGATCACCTCTGTTCCAGTCCTAGCTTTGATGACTCTTCGGTGCAAGTTTTCAGTATGGGCTCGACAGGGAGACTAGGCAGGGTTGCACAGATCAGTATGCAAAGTACAAGAGGGTGCATGTTTCTTGTGTGGCTTTCCTCCTGCTTGCGCTGACAGCCTTCATTAAAATGCAGCTCAGAATATGGTGACTTTTCCCTTTTATCGCAAGGTATGGCAGCCGTGGTTCTGTTCATTTCCTAGTTTCGGGGAATTGCAGAGTGCACGAGGAACTGACTAGGAAAAGGAAAGGCCAGGATGGATTGAGTAGGAATGTGAGAAGATTTGGATGTGGGTGGTTTTGCGCATGGTGTCCCATGCCCACCTACGTGTATGTGAATCCTGACACCTCTTTAGAACAAAGTGAGATGCATCTATAGCACGTTGTCTATTGTTGGTCCTGTAATGCTTTGCCAGGCATCAAGGACATCTGCACCAAATCATCAGCCATATGGTAGGACACTGGAGGCTGACCACTTCACCATGTGGTTTCATGCATACTGGTATGCAATGAGGACTGTAGCTCAGGGGTAGAACCTCTGCTTTCCATGCAAAAGGTCCCAGGTTCCATCCATATAAGAGCTGGGTAACCCTGAAGTTGTCAGTCAGTGAAGAAAATCCTGAGTTGGGTGGACCAATGGTTTAATTCGGTGAAATGTTGCTTTGGTGGTCCTTTCTCAATTGTCACATACAGTGGGTGACGCTGTGGGTTAAACCACAGAGCCTAGGGCTTGCTGATCAGAAGGTCGGTGGTTCAAATCTCCATGACGGGGTGAGCTCCCATTGCTCGGTCCCTGCTCCTGCCAACCTAGCAGTTCGAAAGCACAAAGTGCAAGTAGATAAATAGGTACTGCTCCAGCGGGAAGGTAAACAGCATTTCCGTGCACTGCTCTGGCTCGCCAGAAGCGGCTTAGTCATGCTGGCCACATGACCCGGAAGCTGTACGCCAGCTCCCTCGGCCAATAAAGCGAGATGAGCGCCGCAACCCCAGAGTCGTCCGCGACTGGACCTAATGGTCAGGGGTCCCTTTACCTTATCCTCTGCATTCATGCTCTAATAGAAGTTACACAGGACAGGAATACACAGGCAGAGGAACAAGGAGTTCAGTAAATCCCTTCCCTGAAGTTCCAACACCATTAATTTGGTATCCGCCTCACCCAGTTTCTCTTGGGGGCTGCTCACATGGTGCCATCGGCATATGAATGCATGAACTGTAAGCACTGAATCTGAGGTGATATGAAATCTCTTATGTGTAATAGCTCTCTGCTGGCCTGTTCATGCCCAAGAAGACCCCAAATTGGAAAATATGCAGAAGCTGAACCAGGTCCCCCCAATGCTTCCCTGTTCTACCCCATGAAAGGAGATTCTGACTTAACATCAGGAAAAACTTTTTGACAGTAGGAGCTGTTTGACGGGGTAACGTTCTTCCACAGGAGCTTGTGAATT